TGGTGTCGGCAGGGTCTTCGCAGGCCAAGCGACCGGCACCCGCCACTGGTGGAGTATGCCGCATGCGATGATCAATCAAGAAGAATATGAACGCATTGCGGGCGTATTTTAGGGCGAAAGCGGGAGAAGTTGGAGGTTTGAAGTATCGGGATACATCGTCTTTTTGCTCAGCTGGAGCCATCTATAACCGTCACCAAGCAAAATCTGGCAGACCGAGTTCGGTATATACCCCAGCGGCGAATACCCCAGTTGTAGTTGATTCAAAGGATGATGGGACAATCGCCCAGAAACTAGAACTAGAGCAAATGAGGATTACATTGGAAGAGGCGATTGTAGAAACGTGCAGTAACGTGTCAAAAATCAACCGCGACTTCCCCGCATAGCCCTAAGCAAATGGAATCGGGCTGGCTGTGTATTTTAGGCTGCCAAGCCTGCCGTATCACAAGCTTTCCACGGCAGAAAGCAGCGCTATCCCAGCCTGGAGAAGAATAACTGAGGAACGTATCGCTAAGGATAGGGCCCTTATTTGCAGTCTGATATGCTTCTGGTCAGGCATAACAGGCCAAGGATTGTGCGCAACGTTAGGATGGCGTTGGCTGGAACAAATGTCAATTTGTCCCAGCCGGATATAACGCAAAAACTGACGGAGCCCATAGACGACCTTAAGCAGAGAATCGCTGCTTGAGAAAAGCGGATTCGGCGATATACCGACACGGCTCAACCAAAATCTTCTCTTTCAAAGTGATTAGAAGAGGCTCTAAGAATCATTGGAGCGACCAATGGTAAGCGGAACGAGCCCAGCACAGGATCAGGCCAACACTGTCACATTCTGGCGCGACCTGTGATCAGAGCCTGTAAATCTTGGCGACGGCCCTTGGACGAAAGTTGTGGCGAGTCAGTGTACGAGTGTTACGCCCATATACCCCATCATCATATTATATCTGGCTGACGTAGATGAGGCGGATTAGGACTAGGCTAAGTATAAAAATAGTGGATGACATTTCAATCTAATTTTACAGGGTATGTTGCAATAACCGGCCAAATTCGCAGGTAATGTTCAGAATCTGTAATATAGGCAAATGGTGAGGAAAGTTAATTAAAAAAAATCTCAAGCATTTTGTCCTTTTTATCTTCTAAATTCGAAATCTTGGTAATGCAATATTTTAACTGATTTTACTACACACGCACACATCCGTAAGACAGTCGATCGGTAGGCAAAAACCTTGTTCATTATAATCATTGTTTATATATTTGTTGGTTACTTTTTGAACTCTTTGAAAAACTACACTATATAGACGACGTTCTCGTTATCACCTTGAGCTTGTATTAAGCTTAGTCCACTCAAAAGGTTCAAATAATTTAACTTTAAAAATTATAAACAGATATCAAAAACATAGTTTAATCGCTTTTGTAGAATTGTGCTAGGTGAGTAAACCTCGGAAGCTTTTTAGTTATTTTAATGGCAGTTTTTTCCTTATTTATAGTTTAATTATATTTATTCCATGTTACAAAGATAGATGATACTATGTCTATTATTGCAGTAGTAAAAACAAGTAGCGCGCGAGGCGACCCCGGCATTGAGATACTGATAAGGAATACGATATACTTATTTGCAATTACACGCGGTTACATTATCAATACGACTATACTCGTATCTTGAAGGCGTTTGTTTGCAATGTAAATTTTTTAATTTCGTGTAGTAGTAAAGTAATAATATAATGTTCTCCAGACCGAATTCCGACCTCCGACCGAAGAGGCGGCCTGCCTCAACGGAGACTAGCCATCGGCGCAGGGCAGGATTATAGTGCCAAGTGTATGCGCAAGCACAGGTGCACTCTCTATCTATCTATCTATATCTCCCCCTCACTCTCATAATCCGATGGGACGGTAAACCGACACGACCGGAGAGAGACCAGGCGCAGGACCAACGGCTTAACGTGCTTTCCGAGGTACGGGGGTGAGACACCGCCAACTTTCTGACTCCGGGCAACTACTGAGAATTTCTTGACGGAAAAACTCAATAATTGATTTTTTTTGGCCCGACCCGGGATTTGAACCCAGGACCTCATGATCAACAGTCGCATTACTACAACCACTAGATCAACAAAGCAGTCGAAAAAAAAGTAATAATATAAAAATGGTAAATTAAAAGAAAGTGACTTACAGTAAGTATTATTTATAATCTATCTTTAATATAAAAGTTTCTGTTTCTGTTTCTATAGTTGCGTATTGCGTATGAAAATGATTCCCTGATTCCTGTTACTTTTGAAAGGTTTTATATTTCTATTTTAGTATACATTTTTCTAGTCTTGAGCCTTCATTAAAAAGTCCATTGTGTTATTAACAAAAGGGTAGATGGCGAGATAAGAGATCAAGAAGACCCACGTCATCACTTTGTTTTAGTAGCTTATTGTCTAGCAAGAAAAAAATATTTTTATATGCCACATTGAAATATACGTTGAAAAATCCCTTTCTTAAATGTCTACATTAAAACCTGCATAATAAAAATGACGTATCGTAATGTATAGCGTTACCGATGCAGCCTATTAAAGTCTACTGCTGTACATAAACATTCCCCATAGATTGCCTCATAGAAGGGATATTTCCCACAGTTGGCACGCTTGGCAAGCGGTTTGGCAACTGCAGTTTTTTATTTTAGTCGTTATTAGGATGACGATGCTGCCCATCTCGTAATTTGTTTCCCTTTATTGCCTCTTACGACACCGACGGGATGACATGGGTTAGTGGATATTCATTCACTACACGGTCCTAATGTATAATCCACCTGTTCCCCCAACTTCATTTATAATAGCCAAGACCTTACTTGAGTTTATCCAATTGCTTTTTACAACATTTTCGTCCGTTTAAATTTGTATTGCTGCGGGTAACGATAGAACTTCCTTGCTATGATTTTTTACACTGTATTTTTCCAGTTCTTACCCCATTCCATTCCATTTCATAAATTGCCTTTCATCATTTCATCATCATCATTGCAACCTTTCATAAGTCCAATGTTGAACATTGGCCTCTCTCACAAAAAGCCACAAAGCACGGTGTTAACTCACACTTCCCCTAACGGTACGAGGGTGCCATTCGAGAACCTTTCTGCACCATCGATTGTCGGTTATTCGAGCTATGTGACCGGCTCATTGCCACTTCAGCTTACTAATCATTTTAAATTGCCTTAAAGTGTGGTTTTCCCATAATTGCGAACTGCGTTAGTCAACCCGCATGGTTAACTACCGCAGTTTTTTATAATTTGGTGTTGTAATCAGGAAGATGCTACTAACACATCCGCGGTATGATATGGGCTAGTAGATATTCTTACTAATAAGTGTTTTATTTTTTTTCTCCTGTTATCCATCTTCATGAAAGTTAGTACACATTAAAATTCCTTTGGATAAGGTCGTTTGCAATACTTTACCTTCTGAATTCCGAGTCACCTCTATTTTACAATTCCATACATATTAAAGTACAGTGTGGCGTGGGGAGATGGGAAATTTTAAACGTTAAAGTTGACAGCACTGTTGACAACTGTTCGGAACGATTTGTAGTAGTTGGATGAAAAACTGTTTGCAGTTTTGTTGTCACTATATATTGTATGCGTGGTAGAGCCACGCTACTGATATATTATGGTTGTAGAACGAATGGGTCGGCTCGACCGGGGCGTATACCAGCGTAAAATAGCAGTATAATACTGATGTGTTTCGTATGATGAGTGTAGAGATCCGGAGACCCTTTTTAACTGGATATCTTAGTGCTGAGGGGTAAAAACGCATCTACATTTTGATTCTTAATCCAGGTTAAATGTAGATGTCTATAGGCCACAGCATCCACATATCATCAGGTGGACTGTGTGCTCATTTGTCATCCTTATTCTATATAAAAAACACTTTGAGTCATCTGTGGCTAAATTTGCGAAAGATCTATTAAATGATGACTTTGATTTAATTAGTCGTTGGTCTATACTCATGGGTTGATGTTGATATAAATCCAAGTAAGTCTTACGCATATGTGTCTTAATCGTAAGAGAAGATATACCAACCATACGTGTCACTGTGGTAGAGATCATTTACCAGCGGAAATCACTCTATTAAAGAGTTACGTTTTGTTATTATGACAACGTTATGTAACCTTAAAATAATAATAATACAAAAAGACTGCTACGTTTTTGATACATCAAAACGAAGCCTATCACGATTCCCACAAGTGTTACACAATCGCAGTGCAGTATTATATTAAAATGATAAATGCACCTCACCAGACTTGATTATCAAGGGCACACAGCATTTACCTGTTCAGAAACTGCGAAGTACTTGGGTATAATTATTGATATGTTATAATAGGGTTCGCGAATTACGAACTTAAGTAAAAGGGTTCAATTCACATATTCACAACTTCAAAAAAAAATTCCGACCACATACACATACTACGTGATAGGATTCTTTTTCTGACTCGGAGCCCCTCTGGGAAGGTTCCACTCTGTTTTCCATTTCTGCTCCTAAATATTACTGCTATATTCCGGTCTGAAGGGTGCAGAGGTTTTGGTGGAACAGAGGGGCAATAGAGTAAACGAGTAGAGGAACGCAAAAAAAAAGATTTAATATCTTCTGCAGTAATTATCGTGTAGACTGGCCACAAAAATTAGTAAATGGTATTAAAAAAGAATGTTTTGGAATGTTTTTTTTTTCGAATTTCATTATTTGTTATATAATAATTGAATAATATAGAGTTCGTTTATAGTGAAAAAAGTTTTGTCAACTTTTGAATTTGAGTTTAAATTTAGGTTTTGTTTAAATTTTTGTCTTCTTGATCGTGATAAGTACGAATTGTAAAAGTAAAAGTGACAGGTGAAACTATCTTATATTTTAATTAAAATAATATATTTTTGTAATATATATTTCCTTCGGCGGTTAACAATGTGCCTGCGTGGTGTGCCATGCTTTAATTGTAGGACTCTGATCACCATGGATTAAAATCAAATTTCAGAAGAGGAAGTGATGAATTCTATTCTAATTGAAAACAATGAACAGGAAACGGAGATTTGTTTACCAGAGAAATCCGCTCAATTTCAAGCAATGATTTACGATGAGGTTAGACCTATTAGTGGTAAGAGACGTAGAGAAGACGATGAGGAAGAAAGGTGGTTTACGGTTTCAAGAAATGGGAAGAGAGTGGGACAGAAAGTTGATGTATATATTAATTGCTTCGAAAAAAAAACCTAAACAGTTTGCACTTGCAAAACTTTTAAAAACCAGTAATATTAAGCATATCAGCCGTGTGAAATATGTGAACGCGTATAAAGTATTTGTGCAGTTTGAATGTGCAGAAAGTGCTGATGAGCTGATGAACTGTACACCTTTGAAGGAGTTAGGATGGAGATTTCAAAAGCCATTAGAGGTTGCTTTTTCATACGGTGTCATTAAGGATATTGAGCTGGAGATGACCGAAAAAGAAATGCTGGAGGTAATTTCAAACGCTTAAACCGCGGAAAACGGATGGAAAGGGATGGGAAGATAGTGAATCAATACGGTTGCAATTTAAGGGCTCATTGTTGCCAGCATCAGTATACATTTACGGCATGAAGATTAACGTCGACCCCTATGTCTTCCCAGTCACTCAATGTTCAAGATGTTGGAGGTTCGGTCATAGCCTACGTGTTTGCCACTCTAAAAAGATTGTATGCCCTAAGTGTGGAAAGGGGCGTGCTAATTGTGAGATCACAACATTTAGATGTATTAACTGTATCGAGAGTCACATGTCGTTGAATAGATCTTGTCCTATATTTATAAAAGAAAAGCGTCTAAGGAGTTTAATGGCTGAATTCAATTGCTCATATAAAAAGGCCTTACAAATATATATTCCTCCAGAACCTCAACCTGTACAAGTAGAACAAGAAACAACTATATTAAAGACGGCTCAAAGACATCGCAACCCAAACACATCTTTATATAATAATATGCCTGAACCCATACCTGTGTCCTCTATCTCACAAAACGAAGATGGGGTTATGTCTTACACAAACGTTACTCGATCGGTACCGCGCTTACGTTCTGAAATTACTTCTAACACTAAATCAATAGCATTTAACATCACAATCGGGTGCTATGGAGGTTTCGCAAACTTTACATGAAAAAACTATAAGTACAAAGAGAAAAAGGAAAAAGAAGCAAAATCAGAATGAAGTATTTGAAAACGATATATCTACAGAATCAGACGAAGTAATTAATAATAATGATGATGATATAGAAAGTGAGCTCCAATCAAGAAAAGAGAAAAAAGAGAGAAGAGATAAGCTTAAATCAATATGCTATATTTACAAATTCACAAGAACAACTTAAGAACAAAATGATTCAAGGAATGTCATTAATTATTGAATGGTTAGTACCGATGGTGGGGCAGTGCATTTGCAATTTGCCTTTAAAAAGCTTTTTTAATCTATAATGAATAGTAATTACAACATAAACATTTTTCAGTGGAACTCACAAAGTATTAGGGCCAAACACACGGAATTCGACCAGCTGTTAAATAGCGAGAAAACTCATATTGCTGCCATTTGTGAGACATGGTTGAATGCTGAAGTCATGCTTAAAATAAGTGGTTACAATATTTACCTTAAGGACCGAGATGATTCGTATAGTGGGGTTGCTATTTGTTCACACAAGTCTTTAAAGACTCGACTGATATCTATCCAAATTTCTAATCCCGGAATTGAAATAATTTGTATTAAGATTTTTAAGTTGTACACTAATAGATTACATACTCTCTATATATTGTCCACCTACCATACGAACTTCTCAAAATGACTGGGATAAAATATTTTCTTTTAAAACTAACAAAACATTGATTCTTGGGGACTTCAATGGGCATCATCCAAGCTGGTCTTGTAAGGCTGATTTAAGAGGCACGAATATTTTTGACTCTTTAATTGAAAATAATTTTGTTTCCTTGAATGATGGCACAGCTACTTGCGTTAAATTATTAAACGGAATAGTACAGGAGTCATCCCCTGACATTTCTATTTCTTCTTCGGATTTAGCATTGCAGTTAGATTAGAACGTTACTATTGGGTCATTGGGTAGTGATCATTTGATTGTTAAGATTAATTTATCACACCACAATAGTCACCATCAATTTATAATGAAAAGGAACTATAAGAAAGCAAACTGGGATGGATATAGCTCATATTTGGAATATAAATTTTCAAGTTTTGCTTTTATTAATAATGATATTCCTCATATTCCTTTTTACAGAACCAGCCAAGATCCCACACAACATTTTTCTCCTAAAGTATATTGGAATACCAACTTATCTAAATCTGTTGCAGAAAGGCGCCTAGCTCTTGCTTTATTTAGGAAAAACCCTACTCCTGATAACTAGGATAAATTAAAAAATAAAATTAGAATTTCACAACTGCTAATTAGAAAGGCAACTAGAAAATCTTTCTCTAATTTTTGCTCTTCGATTGATGAGTCTATTACTGTACACGGCATGTGGCAAAAAATGAAGTGGTTAAAAGGTTATGGGTGTTCTAATACAAATAGGAGTTATGTTGATCTAACAATTGCAAATGAGCTTTTACAGTTTGACTCCAGTCTTTGTTTGTCCAAAAAGCCCTGCTTTTTCATCTCGTAACACTGAAATTAACTCTACTTTTTCAATGAGCTAACTAACGTGCTGTTTTAAAACAAAATATACTTCTCTAGGTGTGGATAATATATCCTATTCCATGATCAAACATCTTCCCAAAAACACATGTATTATTTTACTCAAACTATTTAATTTGTTATACTTCCCAAGTTTTGTACCATTCCAATGGCGAGAAATACGTATTATACCAATCCCAAAAACAGGGCGTGACAATTCAACTTTATCATCGCTTCGACCTATTTCACTTATGTCTTGCCTGAGTAAAATCTTCCATGCTATGTTGAGAAATAGATTGGAATGGTTGATGGAAAGTGAAAATCTATTTTACGAAGAGACTACTGGATTTAGGAAAACAAAATCATTCCTGGATCTTAGTAATTTAGTCTGTAGAATACAATTGGGATTTTCAAAAGATCAAATCACAATAGGTTGCTTTATTGATGTAGGGAATGCGTAGAATAACGTGGATATTACGGCTATGTTAGTAAATTTGGATCGATTAGGTGCTGGTTCAAAACTTCTTAAAGGAACGATACTTAAGTGTCCAGGTGAACAATGTTATTTTATCTAGATCTACAGATCGAGGAATTGCTCAAGGTGACCTTATCGCTCCACTACTATTTAATATTGCAACTATTCATATTTGAAAACAAATTAATCCTAATGTATGTATTTCTCAGTATGCTGATGATTATGTGTTATATACTTCCGGTAAAAATTTAAATGATACTTCCACTGAATTACAATTGTCCTTAAATAAAATGTATGGTTTGCTCATAGATTTAGGTTTGGAGATTTCAATGACTAAAACAAAGATCTGTATTTAAAAAAAAGGTATATGTAGGCAAGCTATTTCAGCAAGTGTTAATGATAATAAAATAAAAGTAGTGAACACAGTCAAGTATTTAGGGATGTGGCTAGACTGGTCTTTGAAATGGAATAAATATATTATGGAGTTAACGAACAAAATTTCTAGATTTTTTAACATATTCAAAGTTTTAGTAGGACCTGGTTGGGGAATACATCCGAACCATTTAAGAAGACTATATATTGCCGTTATAAGAAGTAGGCTAGATTATGGGAGTTATTTATTCGATAACAGCTATCAAAAGTATTTAAGTAAGTTAGACAAAATACAAAATCAGGCATTACGAGTACTCGGAGGATTCAATAAAACTACTCCTATACATACAATGGAGAGTTAGCTATGTCTACCTCCACTAAATGTACGAAGAATCTTTTTGGCAGGGAAATTCATCTTAAAAGCTAAATCAATAAGAAAGAACACCACACTAAAAATATTGAATGAATTAGCACATTTTAGAAAGAATAAATATTGGCGTAATAAAAAAAAACCTTTACTATTATCTGTTTATGATCTCTTCGTTGATACCCCAATTCACAGTAGTCAAAAATTAGAAATGTTTAATATAAGTACATGGGTCAGTAACATAGGTTTAAATAACGTAGTTGATTTAAATATTCCGTGTATTGCATAAGCTAAACGAAATTACAATAATTTTAGTCTAAAAGTAGTATGTTTGGACTACATTAATAGGCAGTATGAAAATTATTATAAAATATTTACAGACGGCTCTAAAGATTCAGGCGGAACCGGTGCAGCCTTTTTTGACCCACAGTGTAATTTTAGCTTACAATTTAAGATAGATAGTAAGTAGTATATGCATCATGGAGGCTGAGTTAGTAGCAATATGTGAAGCACTGTCACACGCTGCATCACTACCACAAGATAATATTGTGATATTGACAGACTCTAGAAGCGCACTCCAACACTTGGCTCGGTGCACCTTGGGTACACGAGGCACACCGATAGCCTACACCGTTCTGGATACTATACATGGGTTAACATCCAGGTCGAAATCGATAAAGTTGCAGTGAATTCCGTCTCATTGCGGCGTGGAATTTAATGAGCGAGTAGATGTCTTGGCTAGACAGGCTATTACGGATGGCATCGAATACAACACTTTACCCCATGACACTGATTGTATTTGTACTATAAAAAGGCTATGTTACAACCTATGGAAAGAATATTTCGATTTACGTTCAAAAGAAAAAGGTATTTGGTACAAGACCGTACAACTACATCCGCCTAAAATACACAGAAAAAGGTCCAGTCACCGAATTGTGATCAATGCGGTGTTCCAGAGGACCTAATGCGTGTCTTGATGGATTGTGCCCACAAAGCTGCCTTTCGTATTGATAAATGCCACCACATTTTAAAATATTTCGCTGTTTGTAATATAATTTTGGCTAAGCCACATTCTGACGACATAAAAATATTAGTCAAACTTTACAAGGTGAAGTTCTCGGATCGATCACTCACTTCTCAATGGGATTGATCTGGGAACTTTTCATTTTACTTTTTGTAACTAAATCCATATCTTCTTCAACTTTCTGTAATTAATTATTGATTTGAGAACTTTATAATGTAATAAGTTTAAGTATACCTAATGTAATTGTTTTTTTTTTTGGTGATGAATTAACGGAGCGACATATTCATATTGTGATTAAGCTCATTAATAAAGAATTTAAAAAAAGTACGAATTGTTACCGCAGATTAACTGAGAATACCAGACTAAACGCTACTCATGTTGCTTGGGCTGTTACTTTAATTAAAACTGGACACACTACATACGTGTGACCCAAACGAGTTAAAAATTTGTGATGCACCGAGTTGTTAAGAGGTATCAGCAAACCGGACAATATAGAGAATTGCAGGACAGGGACGTAAACGGAAAACTGTGGCCAGAGATGACCGGTTCATCGTTACCAGCGTGCTTAGACCTTGGCTTTTTCAGAGGTAGGAGTCATGTTCTATTCACAGATGAACAGATTTTACCTGAAGCCAGATGGTGAAAGGATCAATGTGTGGAGATGCCCGGGAGAGAGATCGCTTAGTGCAACATCATTGAAAAAAAATATGTGGTGAAGGGCTAATTATGATATGGGGAGGTATTTGTATGTGAGCACGTACGGAACTCATTTTAGAAGAATTTGTATCTATTTACCCCCTTTATAGAAAATAGATTTGCTTTTGTGTACGAGGGTGGATTGAAAAGTACTCGGCCTAACACAGATCCATTCAATTCTAAAAATCAAATCTACCCACATTATTTAGTTCAGTTCAGACTAGTTCATTGTGTGAAGTTCGAAACGTGTGCGATAATTAGTTGTGATTTTATAAATTTATTAACAAAGTAATCGGACATAATTTCCGCGAATGGAGCAAATCGAGCAGCGTGCCGTCATTAAGTACCTCCATAAGAAGGGGCTGTCATCAAAAGCCATCCATGATGACATGGTCAGTACATTAGGCGATTGTGCTCTGTCATATTCATCCGTCAAAAAATGGATAGCAGAATTTAAGCGTGGTAGAGAGAGTGTGAAAGATGAACACCGCTCTGGAAGGCCTTCGACGTCAACTACTGACGAAAATATTAAAAAAGTACTTGATTTAATAATGGGAGACCGCAGATTAAAAAATAGAGAGATAGCCGAGATTATATGCATCTTTTATGAATGAACTCAAAACATCATTGTCAACGAGTTGGGTTTCCACAAGGTGTCTGCGAGGTGGGTTCCGCGACTGCTTTCAGTTGAACAAAAAAGGACGCGATTGACTATTTCACGCGACTGTTTGGAGTTATTTGAAGCCGATGCAGATGATTTTTTGAATCGTTTTGTTACTATAGGCGAAACATGGGTTCATTACTGTACACTGGAAACAAAACAACAATCAAAACAGTGGAGAAGACCTGGTTCACCACCCCCTAAAAAAGGCTAAGTCGATTTTGTCGGCAAATAAGGTGATGGCTTCAGTATTCTGGGACTCGAAAGGTGTGATTATGATTGATTATCTTGAAAGGGGTCAGACTATAAACTCTGATTACTACTGCACCTTACTACGTCGTTTACGAGAGGAAATAAAAGAAAAACGTCGGGGAATGCTCAGAAGAAAAGTCCTGTTTCATCAAGATAACGCCCGTGTTCACACGTCAGTACAGTCAATGGCTGAAATTCACAACTGTGGCTTTGAACTGTTACCGCATCCACCGTATTCACCTGATCTGGCACCATCAGACTTCTTTCTGTTCCCTAACCTAAAAAAGCACTTGGGAGGTCAAAGATTTTCGACAAACGACGAGGTCAAAGCAGCTGTAGACGCATATTTTGACTCTAAGGAAGAATCATTTTTTTTCAACGGTCTAAATGCTTGGAAGGGGAGGTGGCAAAAGTGTATTGAACTTGGTGGTGATTATGTAGAAAAATAAAAATATAACTGATTTAGTATGTGTTTATTTTCTTGGTTAGGCCGAGTACTTTTCAATCCACCCTCGTATGTTAATGCACGCCCCATACTGCGAAAATATTTGTCAAATACCTTCGATGCGTTGAAATTAAGCTTTGGGGTGGCCAACACGCGCGCCCGACACAAACCCATTGATTAGTATTATGGCAAAGAGGTTGAAAGCAGTTCGAAGAGCTAGAAGGGGCAACACTAAGTACTGTTTATAGCTCATCTTATAGACTTTCCCATGCGTTTATGCATAAAATGTTAAGTTCAGAGATGCTTCTTTCCTGTACAATTTTTCTTTTTTTCTTAATTTGGCATAATTTTTTTCATTTGAAAGTTTGTTTGTGCGATGTTTGCAATTTTAAATTAACGAAACATAAGCAAAATTTAAAATTAATAAGCATTTTTTTATAGT